GGAAGACGACTTCCTGGCGTTATCAGACTGGAGGGGTAGATCCCAGCGTACCGCCTGAAAACCATACCACGAGTTGACCCAAGCCTTGTGAGTGAAACTGTGTAGACGGAACACTTGATAGGTGTGCTAGCACGAAGTCACAATTCATTGTGACCGAGAGTTTGAATGTGCTGCCCTTGTTCAAATTGTTGATCACACTAAATAACACACTCTCTTCCAGAAACTGTAACTAAGGTCTGCTAAGCATAGTTGCAGTATAAATCACATATGGGCTCTGTGGGTGTTGAATAAATACAAATGCGCCTGAGCAAGCTTCTGCAATAGGAATTGGCTAGCCGCCCTAGTATACAGGTATCGACTATTAGGGAGTGGCCTGCTATACACACACACACACACACATATATATATATATATATATATATATATATATATATATATATATATATATATATAGGTATCGATATTTGTAACCTTGGATGTGCGGGTGGTGCAATGGATAACGGTTCAGAAGGAGAAATCCAGTTGAGTTCGCTACGTTCACCTACGCGCAAATGCTCTTTGGGAAAGTTATGAATCCATTTGTTCTTCTCACTGGGTAAATAGCAAAACAGTTTGAGCCTGTAGCTTTGGTTGATATTCAAGCTAAGAAAAAGAAAACTCTAATTTCAAACCACCATGGAGAGAATTGGCAAAATGAGATGAAAACCTCCTATTCCTGCAATGAAAAACTACGATTGTATAAATACAAGCAATTTTCTTTCGTAAATGAATTGCTTGTAAAATGACCAATAATACAATTTAAAAAAAAATGATCAGCAATACATTTTATTGCAAAATGACCAACAATACATTTTATCTGTAAATGAAGGCATACAATTGCTTTCAATATATATTTACTTGACGCCATAAAATTGTGTTCCAAATATTTAGATTTCGGCATTAAATAACCCATAGAAGTTGATATGCCGCTAAACAAAATCAACCAAACTACACATCTATAAAACATAAATTTATCCTGAAAGTATAAAACTATGTACAAAACATCTGTAGTTGAAGGCATGCAATTGTGTTCAAAATATATTTAGTTGAAGCCATAAAATTTTGTTCAAAATATTTATTTTTCGGCATTAAATAACTCATAGAAAATTTTTTCCATTTTTTCATACATTTTCCCATATTGTTCTTGATATATATATATATATATATATATATATATATATATATATATATAGTCGTTCCTCGTTTATCGCCGTTAATCAGTTCCAGACCCTACCGCGATAAGTGAAATTCCGCGAAGTAGGATTCATTATTTATAACTCGAATATTTTCGTAGTTAAAGCATAGAAAACCCGTTTACGACCTTCTAAATACGGTTTTTGACATTATAAGAGCTCTCTCTCTCTCTCTCTCTCTCTCTCTCTCTCTCTCTCTCTCTGTGTCGACATGAAATAACACTCCTGTAGTTACCTTTACACTTATATTATTCAATATATTAGACAAAATAAGATAAAATAAGACATTAAACTTTACAAATATCATCTTATTATTATTGTACATAAAAATCACACACAAAGTTCTTACGTGTACATCGCTTCATCCACGAATGAGTTGCATTATTTTCCTAGGTTAGTGAACTGAGGAAATGATAAAGCGATGAAGAGATGTACTGCACAATAAAGATTATTGCTCATCTAAAGCATGACTTCAGTAGAAAAGTCTTCAGGTGGTGTGTCGTCTTCTGCTGTTGAAGACATACTAAGCCTAGGGGGTTGGTGTCTGAGTGCGCTGCTGAAAATAACATCGCGATAGGCGGTGTCTTTTCATCTGCGTTAGGAGGCTTTTGTAGGGTTCCATCCCTCCATAAAGTGCATTTCGGAACTGTAATACACGCATCATTTGTGGGTCCCAATCGCTAATCATGTTCTTTATTTCCTTAATTGTTCTTGCGACTTGCGTGAGACGCTCAAGTGGAAGGCAAGGATCTATAATAGACTCAGACAATCAAGCGCGCTCTGTAGTATTTTCCCTGTCGCGACCAACTGAAGGATCGACTGTGTGTCTGCGCCTGTGATCTGGGCAAGAACTTTAAAAGAACCGTAAAAAAGCGAGGATTTTTTTTTAAGGAAAAGATCTGGCAAGAAACAGCGATAGAGTGGAGCCGCGAAAGTCGAGGCGCGAAATGGCGAGGGTTGACTGTATTGCTAGTATTAATAATTAAGGCTGGCCGCTCGAATATGTCTGTTTATTAAGGGAGGACTAGCTAAGCCCTGTTGTAGACGCTTGCTTAGGCGCTTCAGTGTTTCTCCAGTACCCAAAGAGCCAGTCTGTGTTTTATACTACAACTATGTAGAGATTCGCTACGGTCCAGTATGCTCAAAACATTGGTCGCGATTTGTGACCTAGTGCTAGCCCGGTTCCGGTACGATCACCGAAGCTAAGCAACATTGAGCCTGGACAGTATCTAGATGGGTAACCGCTTGGGAATACCAGGTGCTGTAAGCTTGGACGTGCGAGTGGTATAATGGAAAATGCCTCGGAATTGTTAATCGGAGAGCCGAGTTCCAATTCCAGTTGGGTTCGTTATATTCACTTACGTGCCAATACTCTTGAAGAATATACCAATCCACCTCTTCTCCCCCAGCTATGGGTTAATTAGTAAGACATGCTCTCTAATCCATTATTATCTCCCCAAAAACTTCTTAGGATCTAAAAATATTTTCTGGCGAGAAACCGCGATAGAGTGAAGCCCCGAAAGACGAAGCGCGAAGTGGCGAGGGACAACTGTAATATGTAATGGAGTAAATCCAACAAATATTTTAATATATTTTCTGTTCATACGTTATTTTTATGGATACAACTTATTTGAGTAAATACTCAGTTTTAATTACACGGTATTAATTACATTTACTGGCCTGAATATTCGACAAATCTCGTAGAAAATTTACGTTCTCCGTCAGGAATCGAACCTGTATGCCATATGGATTAAAGTGCTCTTAACTTAGACATAGATTACTTCCAGTTTAGCAAAGTTCAAACTACTGCTTATAAGCACACAAATTCCACTACCTTTCTCGATAATTCATTTCCGCTCCGAAACGTAACCAAACGTAAACAATGACAACATATTATACGTATTGGATTTAATCCGATAAATATTTTAATATATTTTCTGCTCATACTTTATTTTTATGGATACAACTTATTTGAGTAAATGCTCTGTTTTAATTAAACAGTATTAATTACATTTACCGGTTTGAAAATTCGAGCAATCGTGTAGAAAATTTGCGTTCTCCGACATGAATCGAACCTGTATCCCATATAGACTAACATGCTGTTAACTGATTCAGACAATTCCGGTTAAGCAAAGATCAAACAACTGCTTATAAACAAACCCATCGCACGACCTTTCTCGATAATTCATTTTTGCTCCGAAACGTAACCTAACGTAAACAATGACAACATATTATATGTAATGGATTGAATCCGATACGTATTTTAATATTTTTTCTGTTTATAAAAAAAAAAAAACATAAAAAGAAAATAAATTATACACCTTTGTGCAAATTAATTGAAACAACTGCTTTAGTATCTTTTCTTTCAAGATTCGGTCAATATTAGACACACTGGTGTGACAGGGTGTAATCGATTTCTATTTTTTAATCAGATTAGGTCATTTGCAGTGGTGTGTAGTAATATGAATCTATTTTCAGGGTGTATGATGTAATGTGTTTGGCCTTGAAAAATATTTCGCCATTCGTGATTGCATCAGATTTTCATCACACCCGGACACTATTGTTTCAGCTGTCGATTAGTTGCTCTATGGCCATTGTCTGCGATGGACATTACTCCAAGGAAGCATAAAAAAATTGTAAAAATACCCTAACACACTGGCAAGCCTTATCAGTGAACAAATGAAAGTAATATAGGCTGGCTCGGAAACTTTCCTGATTTAAATCAAGTCGAGAATCTGCGGTCAATCTGCAAGGAACAAATTCGGAGAATGGACATACGAAGTACTAACATGTGTACCGGGTCATGTCTCATTGGAAAAATACAAAAAAAAATGTAAATAATAACGGGATTAATTGTTTTGTTTCAATTAATTGGCACAAGGGTGTAGCTTCCTGTAAGTTTTTTTTTTTTTTATCAGACATATTTTACTTCATTTATATGGGCTTCAGATATAAGAGGCTGGGAGATTTTGTCAAGACCTGTTTAACTTTATTTGTCATCTATATGAAGAAATGAAAATATGCCATATGCAATAGAATATTCATAAAATAGTTCATTTGCATTTAATTTTAAACGTTCAAAGAATCCCAAGAATGATTGGCTCTCTTGCATATCCACCTCATCAAATCTAACCCTCTTTGAAAAAGGTTTGATTGATTTAGTAGACCATTTCAAAATTCAAAACAAATTCTTCATATTCAAAAAATTCATAGCCGCTATTATCTGTCTATATTTCTGAGATGAGGTATTATGTTCACTACTTACATTATTCGGACTATTGTCCTCATTTTTGTCGCCATATTTATTACAATGTCTCGGCCTTTCAATATCTGTCTATATTTCTGAGATGAGGTATTATGTTCACTACTTACATTATTCGGACTATTGTCCTCATTTTTGTCGCCATATTTATTACAACGTCTCGGCCTTTCAGTATCTGTCTATATTTCTGAGATGAGGTATTATGTTCACTACTTACATTATTTGGACTATTGTCCTCATCTTTGTCGCCATATTTATTACAATGTTTCGGTCGTTGTACGCTCTGGCCTTCTTCAGGTGGTTGGAATGTCGAACTGAACCCTCCATTTCGCTCACTGGGGTAGACTGTTCTAGTTCCACGTGCCATGTTTAATGGATGTCAGTTATCAGTTATCTCCTGCTTAATCCTATCTCCAATTTCTCCACTGCCTCAACCGGGTATTGAACTCACACTCTTTGGGTTCTGTCACTGGATCTAACTAACACAGCACAGTGGATAAAGGCGTTAGTTAGATCCAGTGACTGTCCTGCTATGGCCGGGGACGAACCCACCACTGATTTCGTACTCTGAGCCGCTACACTACGGCTCTTGTCCCTGCTATACTCCTTACAAAATGCGGATCACATTGACTGAAGCGGGAAGGATTACAGAGAGTATTTGGAACGTTGTTTCCTTAATAGTTGTCTTGAAAATTTGATAGGCAATGCCAGAATTCGATCTTAGTCTATAAATTCTGCTTTTCGAAATTACTAATCGTTATGCCACGTTGGATAAAATATTGCTTCTTCTTTTTTTTTTAACGATGTATTTTTTCCCATGAATGCTTTCATTCACCAGTTGTCATCAGCTTCACGTTTTAGCGTAAAAAATTCAAATCTCTCGGATACCGGACTCATGAACTACCCTTCTACCAATGCCCATCTGAGAATCAGTGATTGGTGAGTTGAAATATCAGCTTTGATGACAACAATTCGCAATAATCACTTAAGAGGCCCGCTTCAAATAATATTGCTTCATTCAGCCCATTGAAAAGAGTTGTTAGAGGAGAGAAGGAAAGAAAGAAGAAAACCTTTTTACGAAATTTTTTGTTAATTTCTTCGTTTATATATATATATATATATATATATATATATATATATATATATATATTTTTTTAATTTGTTTTACTTTTATTTTTTTTTATGTGGATTTTGTATTGTCGGCCATTTTGCATTGCCACGCAAATGATTGATCCGAAAAAAAGTCTCGTGTGTCGACAAAATCCAGGAAACATTTAAGTGCCACCTTCAGAAATGATTTTAATTTACTCGATAATTAATTAAGCATTGTTAATTGATCTCCAGTTTAATTTATGCCTGACATTAGAAAAGATTTTTCGTTTAACATTTTTCTTTTTGCATAGATTTAGATTTTTGAGTTGAAAGAGTACTGTTGCTTTTATAGAGTTCTATCTGGAGTGACGGTTGCTAGCATTGGTTTTCAAAGATCTACACTCAACCTGGCTACTCTAACCCCCACCCCAAAAAAAAAGTTGCTTCAAGTAAAGATTTACACTATTTACATCGTTTGAACTTGTCTTTATCATCATTGTCATATTCACTACGTTACGACCGTTAGAATCTCCGATCATCTTTAGGTGATATATGGTAGGCTATTTAGTCCACATTGGTAGATTCGTCTAATACCAAATCCCAAGACTTTTTTGAATAACTCGTTTTCAGTTCATTCCCTTCACTCTGCGTGTTTTTGTTCCCCTTTGCGGAACTCACAACTCATTTTTGGGTTAAGTCTTTGATCCCATGTGTTCCTGGGGCGAATTGGAATGAACCTTAGGGACTATAATCCTAATATCTCGGTAACTATTCTTTACCGGAATTGTTGTAAATAAAGGTCGGGGTGTACAACGGCCGAAACATCGTTAATACAACAATAAAGGTGATGACAACAGTCCGAATGATATAAATAGTGTAAATAGTCGCAGTAACATATTTCAGAAACATAGACAGACCCTGAAGAAGGACAGAGCGTACAACGGACGAAACGTCGTGAATACGGCAATAAAGGTGAGGAAAACAGTCCGAACGATATAAATAGTGTAAATAATTACAATACCTCATCTCAGAAATATAGACAAATTCTGAAGAAAGACGGAGCTTACAAAGGCCGAAACATCATGAATATGGCAGTAAAGACGAGGACAATAGTCCAAACAATGTAAATAGTGTAAATATTTACAATACCTCATCTCAGAAATATAGACAGATTCTGATGAGGACAACATTCCGAACAATGTAAAAAATGTAAATAGTTACCTCACCTCAGAAATATAGGCAGATCCTGAAGAAGGACAGATCGTACAACGAACAAAACGTCGTGAATATGGCAATAAAGATGAAGACAACATTCCGAACAATGTAAAATATGTAAATAGTTACAATACCTCATCTCAGAAATAATAAACTTTTTTTATTTTGTTGTTATGGTGAGAATTAAAATTTATGAGATCATTTTTCTTAATTGATTAACGTAATGGTAACAAATTTTCCGTTGAGCCTAGATAAATTCTTTTCAGTTGTAATCGTGATCGAGTTGAAAGGTAGAATAACATGTTTTGATTCGTTAATTTTATTAGAATGGTCCACTCTTACATTTTCAAATATTTTAAGTATGCACTCTCACATACAAATATATATATATATATATATATATATATATATATATATATATATATATATATATATATATATATATATCAAAGGACTAACTCAAAACATCATTAAAGTGTTTGGTGGTAATTATTTATTTCAGACAGACAACTGCCTCATCAGACAGGAGTTAATTGTCTGTCTGAAATAAATTATTAATTCTTACCGATAACTTTAATGATATATTGAGCTTATCCTTTGGTATATATCATATTGCTCTGTATTTTTATACATTGTACTCTCTCCAAGGATCTATCTTTCTAATATTTGATATTAAAAAAACTATTTGGATTATCCTTA